AAGCAACAAAAAATTTAAAAAAACTTAGAAATTTAGAAAAACAACAAAATAAAAGAACAAAGACATAAATATTAACTAAATAGTAACTATTTTACTTAAACCTTTTTTTATAAAACAACTATACTATGCGTACTATTTACGTATACTTATATAGGTATACGTATTATTACGTATTCTTATATATCCTACTTCGTATATAAAAATACGTAAGTTACTATTTGTACTATTTATGTATTCTTATATACTTCGTATATACTATTCGATTACTATTTGTGATTATAAGTTTATTTTCATTCTTATTTTTTATCTCAAAAATAGTTTTGCAGTATCACGTAGTAATTTTTGCCTCAATTCTCGATTTAAATGCCTTTAAATTAGTTATTGTTTTAAGTTCATTTGTAAGTATTTTATTTTATAGATGATGGTAAATATTTATTTGTTAAGTGTTTAGTATATTTAGCTTAGTAAGTATTGGTTGAGAACGCGTAAAACTGCTTACGTAGAATATAGTTAAAGAACGCTTTTTAAAAGGAGTCAATTTTTTCTAAAATTGAGTTTTTTTTCAACATTCGAATTTTGATTTGTACTGCACCAAGCATTATGATCGTGTGAAAGTTTTTTTTTTAAACTGTATTTTAACTTCTATTTAGGTTTTACTACGTTTTTTTTTATTTTGTTCTGTTTACTTTTAAAATAAAACAACAGGCGCCGTCTAAAAATACAGCCAAAGATATCGTTCAAGGATATTCGTCATGATCAACATTTAGGCATGTTATTTAATAAATAAAGTTACGCAACAATTTAACAACGTAACAATAATTAAAAGTATACTATAAAAAAAATCAAGATTTTTAGTAATAATTTCATTTGAGAGGGTGAGGGGAGGGGGTGAGGGGGAGTTGAATAGTTATAATTTTATTAGATGGATAATTATAACTAACAGGGAAGCAATAATGTAATCCCCAATGTAAATCAATAATGTAATAATGTATGTTTATTCTAAAATATACTTTCCTGGGTAAATTTGTTTATTAACAATTTTTTTGATAAGGTTAAAAACTAGGTAAAACACGGCTTATATTTGAGTGTGTGTGGTTATGCAGTGGCTAGACTACTCCATACTCCCACTGGTTGGGGGAGGTCAGAGAATTTAAAGCGCTTCATTTTCAAATTTAGGAGCCTTTTTACAAATTTAATGACCTTATTTTTTTATTTTAGTAATACATAGTGAAGAAATCTTTTCGATTTTGGAGCCTAACCACAGGTCTTCTTTTTTTTGTAGAGGGTGGATCAAGGGGGCTAGGGGGGACTATAGCCCCTTTTTTTTTTTAAGTCATTTTTAGGGTCTGGCCTGTAAAAAGGCCTCCAAAAACAAAAATAGCCCCGGGCCCCAAGAAGTCTTAATCCGCCACTGGGTGGGAGGCTCCTACCCACTAGCCACGGCGCTGTGTACGTATGTATGTGATTCATACATACATACGGCGATAAGAGGCGTGAAGACGCTGTTTATCAACTCTGCATCTGTATAAACAAAGATAGTTAACGCAAAAATTACAGGATCTGTTAATTAATGTATATAATGCAAGAATCGTTATAAATGATAAAAGTTTATATCAAGCAACAACCAATTTAATACGCGTGGTCACTAACGTTATTTCAATTTTTTTTATTTACACGGCCCTAACGTTACATGATGAGCAGTAATGCCAATATATATAATTAATAAGAGATATATAGTACGTTTTTGCTTTTCATTTACAAATACTTCACCCAGAACACAGATTAGAACATTTCCTTAGAAATGCGTCTATTTAGAAATTTCTAGTTGTGTGAAGTTATTAATTTTTTGTGAATTTTTGCTCTTTGATGTATTATATGTTTCCACTTTCAGTTGTTGCATGTCTGGAATTGTTTTTAGTGTGTTTACTTTCAAGTTACCTTAAAAAATATCACATACGAAGAGCCAAGAAGATGTTAGAATAAATTCTGGTAACAAAGCTTAACAATATCACAAAACAATGTCATAAAAAGGAAAATGTTACTAACAATCAATGATTCACTTTATGGGTCATCTAAAATGCCAAGACTCTTGGCAAGAGAAATGACAAATATTGGAAGGTATTAATTTCTTTCAAAAAATGAAACATTAAGAAATGTCAGAATTAAAATAAAAGCTAATGAATAAAAGAAATTGTAGCAGAAGTTAAAGTTTCCATTTCTAAAAAAAAATTAATAATGATACATTGATAAAAAAAAGTATATACTTATTGAAATACCATAAAGAATGTATTCAAGTTAAATTTACAAATGTGTTTGGAAATTTAACAAAAATAGATGGTATCTTGTTGGTAACTAAAAGATTTTATGAAATGCAGACTATATCACAAGAAGAAGTTGGTTATGCTACAACAATTCAACTCTCAGAAAGTGCTGCTACAGTTAATCAATATCAGACCCTCAGTCAATGTAGCAGCACTTTCTTGTAGCAGCAGGCAATAAGATAGTTGATATATGCACTAAAGCCAATGAATATTTCTTATGTTTATATTAAAAAGTCATCACTTGAGCAAGTCTTCACACGAAAGCGCAACAAGCAAAAAAATGAAATTATTTTACGCTGCGTAACTGTAGATTTACCTTAAAGAAATGTATAATCTGAAATTGCTTCCAATATATCAGAATATCCAGATACTTCAGATGATGGTACTAATGACTGTGAATACACTCCTAAACTCCCAAGCAAAATTCTACTACAAAATCTGCAGTTCACTTAGTGAAACAGAGTAATTATATAGTTCCTCTAAATGAGCAAGAGTTTGTGAACTATTCTGACAAAATCTGACCAGGATATTGATATCTCTATACCAACTCATTCTGCATAATATAAGTCATCTGTTAGAGAATCACAGAAAATGCAGCAGAATTTTTAAGAAACTCTTAAAAAAAATTGGGCTCTGGATTCTGATGATAAAAAAATAAAGAAGCAAGAAATTCTTGTATTAAAAAATTAGCACCGCAAAGTTTACTAACCCTTAGTGGTGGAAAAGAGTTAACAATATTTTATTGGAGTAACTGAGTTTTTAGACCAATACCAATTGTGGGAAAGCATTGAAGTTATAGTCTGTAATACCACAAATTTGATTTTTGGTTCAATGAACATTTTAATAAAGTAGACAATTATATATAATTGGGCAAGGGTTAAAAGAAATATAAGAAAGCACAAACAATATATTTATATATAAATTAATGTATATATATATATATATATATATATATATATATATATATATATATATATATATATATATATATATATATATATATATATATATAAATATATATATATATATTAAACTTTTTTCATTTTACGCTGTTTCATCAATTAAGACTCATCAGAAATCTTTTTTTGGATTTCTAATGAGTATTAATAGGGTAACAAAGTGTAAAATGAAAAAAGTTATAAACACAGTGTAAAATTTAAACACAGTGTAAAATTAAAAAAGTTTGATAAGTGATTAGTTAATAATATATATATATATATATATATATATATATATATATATATATATATATATATATATATATATATATATATATATATATATATATATATATAAATAAATATGCACAACCCTCGGAATTAGGGTCGGCATTCTGCAATGCTGACCTAACTGCCAACCTAAACGTGTTTGCGGTCGGCAAAAAAAATTCGGTTTGCCGACCTCGTTTCAATGGTTTTTTATTTTTTATTTTTTTTATTTTACTTCACCTCCTCAAGGCCGAGAAGGCCACTACAGACAAGGAGGCTACTTATTTTGTGGCTATAATCCTCTCTCAACTCTATAACTCCGAAACATGAACCTTGACGAACAAGGCCGCTGCGCGGAGAAACGAGTTGAGCGCGGTACTACCAGGGACGTGATGAGAATCGAACTCGGAACCACTCGTTTATGAAGCGAGCGCTCTACCACTACACCACTACCGCATTAACCTCAATTTTCCTAATTCTGAAAGTTGTATGTATATATGCATATATATGTATATATATATATATATATATATATATATATATATATATATATATATATATATATATATGCATATATATGTATATATGCATATATATGTATATATATATATATATATATATATATATATATATATATATATGCATATTTATGTATATATGCATATATATATATATATATATATATATATTTATTCATATATATGTATCTATGCATATATATGTATCAGTCTTCTCCGTTTGACGAGTGCCTTCACGCTCTTGCAGTTTTGCGCTCGCCCACATGTTTGCCAATACTGCGGCTGGCGCTTTTTTAAGCGCTCGCAAAAAAATTTCAAGCATGTTTTTTATTGCTACAAATCTTTTTTTTTTTTAATCAAGTTCTAATTAAAAAGGTACAAAAAACAAATATCTTTCAAAATCGCGCACGCCAGAAAAATAATTACTGTCTTGCCAGCACTTCTTTGTGTGCTGGCGGTAAATTTCAATCGGAGAAGACTGATGTATATATATATGCATATATATATGTATGTATGTATATATATATATTTTTTTTTTTTGTTGTTGTTTAAATTAAAATATATATTTAAAACATGCAAGACTATTTATATATATACATACATATATATATATATATATATATATATATATATATATATATATATATATATATATATATATACACGTATATACATATATATATAAAACAGCTCTTTAATCAATAATAATTTCTTACATAGAATTCACGTCCTAAAATGACAACAACTGTATAAATCTATATATATGGGGTTATATATAATATATATGAGGGTTGTATATATATATATATATGTATATATATGTATATATATATATATATATATATATATATATATATATATATATATATATATATATATATATATATATATATATATATATATATATATACATATATATACATATATATAAAACAGCTCTTTAATCAATAATAATTTCTTACATAGAGTTCACATACTAAAATGTCAAAAACTAATAAAAAAAATAGTGAAGCTTCTCCAAAAAAGCGAAAGACTTCAAAATTAAAACAAGAATCTGATTTGACAGAAAAAAACCAAATGAAAGATGAAAATAAAACATTGGAACCATCCAAAATTTCAGAATCTAAAGATGAGCGTAAACAAGATTTGTATAATAAGTTAAAAGTGTAAGTTTCTTTATTACAACTTTTATTAGTTTTCAAATTATTAGCAATAGTTTAAAAGATGTATCTCCAGTATCTTTCTCATCTCTGATATGATATTGCCTTAATATAATAGAAAAATAATGTCTAATTAACTCTCTAACTATTTTATTAATACCTGTTGTTTTGAAGAAGATGAAGAATATCTTTTTGGTTTAAACCTGGTAAATAGCTTGAAGCAAATCTTCACAACTAAAGGACAGCTAAAACCTCCTTTTTTTTTCCAATACTAAAGTTTATTTCAAATAAGTTTTTCCAATGTTTAAAATTTTGTATGCTAGTTTTAGTTTTAAAGTTACATCATTATTTTTAAAGTTTTGAATTTTTATTAATACTATTATGATGATAATATTTAGTATTAATACTATTTTATCATAAATAGTATTTTACAAATAAATTAATGAATGGCAACTCTCTCACCTAGTCCTCTTCTTTAAGTCTTCTTGGATTATTGTTCACTACTGACCTCTTATGGAAATTATATATACACTCATTTTCTAATTTAGCATCTGCTAAGGTTGCTTCTCATTATCCTGTTTGCCATTTTCTTACTCCTGATTTCATTCTCTACCTCTACAAATCTCTTATTTGCCCCTGTATGAATACTGTCGTCATATTTGGGCTGGTTCCTTCTATGATGCCCTTTCTCATCTAGACAAGGTCCAAAAGTGCATTGTAAAAATATAGTTTGACCTATTTTATTTGCTAAGCTTGAGCCTCTCTCCCATCATTGTAAAGTTGCATCTCTTTCTCTTTTCTACAAATACTATCACGATCACTGCTCAAAGAGGTATTATCCATTAACCTCCATCAACTAAAACTCATTCTTACTCGATTTCTCTTTCAATTAAGTTTCATTCTTTTACTGTATCTGTTCCTGCATGACTTAAACATTTATTTATCTGTTTTTTTCCTTGCCTTTCAACCCTTAGTTCTCTTTTTCATCGTCATGTTATCCTGACTCATACGACCTAGAATTTTTTAAGTCTTCTGTCAATCATTTCCTTGCTCTTTAACTCTATTCTTTTTTTTTCTTTTAGCAACTTCCAACTTTATAGTGGTTGCTTGCAGCCTTGTTTGCAGTGAATCATAATAAATAAAAAATACTAGTACTATAGTTTTAGCCTTATCTCTTTAAACACTATTTAAAGTAATTATCTTGATGCTTATGTCAAACAAACTGAAATAACAAATGATTCTACACTGTACAAAGTTGAAATAAAAAATTACAATGTACACAATGACCTGTTTAGAAACACAACCATTGGGAGGCTTATAACTATTTTGAAATAAAACTAATTGAAATAATATCATTATCAATTTCATTATAATTATCATTGATAAAGATACTATTTCAATTCTTTTGTGTGTTTTTAAATTTAAAGATTATCAACACAAGGAAAAGTGTAAGATCACAACACAAGGAAAGGTGTAAGATCACAACACAAGGAAGGGTGTAAGATCACAACACAAGGAAAGGTGTAAGATCACAACACAAGGAAAGGTGTAAGATCACAACACATGGAAAGGTGTAAGATCACAACACATGGAAAGGTGTAAGATCACAACACAAGGAAAGGTGTAAGATCACAACACAAGGAAAGGTGTAAGATCACAACACATGGAAAGGTGTAAGATCACAACACAAGGAAAGGTGTAAGATCACAACACATGGAAAGGTGTAAGATCACAACACAAGGAAAGGTGTAAGATCACAACACAAGGAAAAGTGTAAGATCTCAACACAAGGAAAGGTGTAAGATTGAATGTGGATCAAATTAAAGCTAACTTAGAGTAAAAGGCAAAAATAGAATGAAGAAGATCAATCTAAATTAGATCTTTTGAAAGATTATTAGGTACAATGATTGCTATTAAAAAATCTTTTGGATTAATTTTGAAGGACTGTGTAGTAGCAAATGGATAGTGCAGTTAATTTTTTGAGTCTGACACTTTATGCTATACTAAATTTTATTTTGCATGATTTTGTGTGAAATGGAAATTTGCATGATTCTTTTTTTTCTGCTATGTCATACATTTGATGTTTTATAACAATTTGTTATAAAACATCAAATGTTATAATCACTTGAGTTAATAATTTAGAGTAACATTAAATAAATTTTTGGTTTTTGTACTTTAATTTTAAACATGTGATTTTATAAGTTTCAAGCATTGTATTATAACTTAGTTGACTCATAAACTATAGTAAACTTAATGCAAAAGACTTTTTTTACTTATATATCTATTACCAACAATATACTAACAGGTGCTTGTTTACTGTTAACTTTTAAAACATGAATTTTAAGGATTTTATATTAAAAGTTTGAATTTTATGAAAATAATTTGAATTAGCAGAAAGCTTTTTGCTTATTTATTCTTCTATATTTTTTATTTCATTTTCAGTGTACATACAACCAGCCCATCAATTTTGAGTAGTTCTTCTGGATTTGAAAATTATAGAGGAATAATTAATTTATGCTTGTTGTTACTGGTACGCAATAATTGCAATCAAAGTTTTATTGATGCTGAATTTGAAATATTAGGTTTTTATCAGATTTTTCAACAAGTGATGTTTAATAGTTGTGTGATGATGTTAGTTGTAATAGATTATATAATGATAGTAATAATATATTTATTTTAATCTTTTGTATAAATAAAATGTTAATATTCACGTGTATTACATTGTACATTGTAATATGCTAATAATATAAATAAGTTATATAATAATGATAATAATAATAATAATAATAATGATAATAATAGCAATAATAATAATAATAATAATAGCAATAATAATAATAATAGTAATAATAATAATAATAATATTAATATTCTATATAATAATATTATTATTAATAGTGATGTGTTATATATTGTGTATTGTAGTATATGCTGTAATAATAATGATGTGTAGCAAATTATATAATGAAAATAATATATGTAATATCCTTTATTATAAAAGTTACAATTGGTATCTAAAAATAATATTTTTTTTAGTTGTTTTTTAAATCTTTTTTTTTTTTTTAGGTATTGTCAAATTTTAGAGTTGCTTTAGATAATATTTTAAAGTAAGTAAAGTAACAAAAACCTTTTTTTTATGTTTATTATATGTTATAAATAAGTTAAGCTTTTTTTTATGTATCCTTGTTTATATGTTATAAATAAGTTAAGCTTTTTTTTATGTATCCTTGTTTATATGTTATAAATAAGTTAAGCTTTTTTTTATGTATCCTTGTTTATATGTTATAAATAAGTTATGCTTTTGTTATAAACTTTATATAGTTAAAAATGTTCATGGGAGTAAATCAACACTTTTATGATTTTTTTTTGTAAACACTGAAGTCCAGAATGTCTTTAAAAAATAAGTTTACTTTTCAGTATATTTGTTATTAAATTTAAAATACATAAAATAAACATGTTTAGTTCAAGGTAAATTAACATGTTAAAATTAGGTTTGAAACTCTTAAATTGTCTTTTTCATGTTTAGAATAAAGTAAATAAATATGTTTAGATAAGGTTTGAAACTTTCAAATTGTCTTTATTTATAAACACTGTATTAGACAGTGGTAGAACATTTGGCCCACAATTATGAGGTTCTTTGTTTAAATCCACTACCTCTTTGGAAGTACTGCGCTAAACCTGTTTTTTTGCGCAGCAGAATAGCAGAGCACGTAGCAGCCTTATTTAAAAAATTTTGTGTTTCAGAGTTTAAGGTTAAGAAAGAGATTAATAAAAAAAAAAAAAAAATGATTAGCTTTTTTAACTCTAGTAGATTTAGAGGCTTGGGGAGGGCGTGGGGAGTTTAATTTATTACAGCAATTAGTTTCTATTAAAAGAAAAAGGCTTATTTAATTATTGATTATATTATATTTGGTTGTTTGGATTAATTTTTAGTTCATTACTTTATACTTGATTATTTGATGATTTGTGTCTGGTAATGCAGATTTGGTTATAACAATTATATATGGATGTTTATAATTTTATACAGGTATGGTGTTCTTGTTGATCCTTATATTATACTTGTTTTTCTGGAGAATCCGTACAGTTGGCCTTCTGCTACATTAGTAATTTGTAATTGTTTAATTGTTGTTTTTATATCAAAATGCATATGTTTTTTTCATAAGACATATAAAAACAATTAAAAAACAAACAAAACATAATAATGTACATTGTAATGAGACATACAAAAATAGCGGTGTTGTTACTTATGTATAACAAAAAGTTATTTTATTTGCATTCTTTTATTTCTTTTTTAAATTCAATTTTACATTGTAATTTTTTTTTTTAAGTGTCAAATGTGTTTATTCAAGTGTGTTTCTATGCTGAAAGGCTTTTATCAAAGGTAACTATTGTTCTGAAATTAGATTGAAATACAAAAATTTTAAATGATGCGTTTTAATCATTTAAAATTTTTGTACTTCAATTTTTATTTTTGAGTCATTATTTCATTTCATTAAATTAAAAAATCTTCAAATGAATATGCAATTACCTTTACATTATTATTTCAAAAAATAAAATTTGCATTAGATCAAATTAGATTTTTTTCATTTTTTCATGCTTTTTATGGAAAATGCAACTTATTAAGAAAAGTCTATATTTATAGCTAAAAAAATGAAATTTTTTTATTTTTAGAAAAAAAGTTTTTTATTTGATATAAAATAAATTTATAAATTTAATAACAATTAAAAATTATTGTTTCAGAGATACACTATATCAGTCTGCAAAATTCTTATAACTAATTCTCTTGCTACAAGCATTTACATATATTTAGTCATACATACATTTAGTCTTTGATTTTCAGATTGACTTTCAAAAGTGCAATATTGATAAACCAAATATTTCTCTTATCACAGTCATTAGTTAATTGCATGTTATTCACAAACTGAACAAACTTTCTTTAGCTCTCAAAATCGTCCCAACAGCCAGAATCTCCCTTAATCCATTCAATAACATCGTCATTAAAAATACCATCGATGTCAAAAAGGATCTAGCTTTCAAACCCAACAAAGTTAGGAAGAGTCAAGGTAGTTCATATCTAAAATTTTGTAGATGAATTGCATCCAAATATCTTTGGCTTAACATTGATGAGCAAATTCTGTATTATTTTTTGTTTGTGCTCATTAGAGTCTTTTAATGCCCCCAAGTTGCATCTTGGAGTAGAGGCTTCTATTCTACTAAAGGAACCATAAGACATGAATAACACTTCTAAGGAACAATAAGACATGCATAGCACTTATGAAGATAGCATCATTAAACTTTTCCTCCTCATTTACTGTTATTATCTTGTGTGTAACTTTAATGATTTGTATTATCAAAATATATATAGCCGTAATTCTCGCCTGGTGTGATAATTTATTGTGGTTGCGGGAATCTAAAATGACTGTGGGAATCTAAAATTCTCAATAACACTGCTGAGGAAGAATATACTTAACTTGACTAAATTGCAATAATCATCTTTAGCAATGGTTTTTCTATGAGCTGCATATGTCAAGTACATTGTCTTCAGTATCCGAAACATCTGGAGTGGATACACCTTATGGCAGTCTATCATTTGTGTAACAGAGATGGTTTTTGCTCTCAATTTTGCTACAAATGTTTAGTGTCTATGTGCAACATTCCTTTGCTTTTCAATTTATCTATGATTTTATTTTTAATAAATCACCCCGTTTCTGGATAATAACATATTATTTACATATCATAAAGAATTGATAACTAGATATTATTTTCAATAGTAACTTTGGAGAATACTAGTTAACATATTGAAATGACCTCTATGACTTATACTGTATCTTGTATGACTTATACTGTATCTTGTATGACTTATACTGTATTTTGTATGACTTATACTGTATCTTGCAGCAGATGTTAAATGACAAGAATGACAACAACAACAACAACAACAACAAGCTATTTATTTTTCGTAAATCATTTTACAATAGTTTTGATAATAATGATAATAATAATAATAATAATAGCAGTAATAGCAAAAATATATAATAATAACGTAAGATAATAAAAATAAAAAAAAATTAATAAAAAAATAATTATACAAATTATAGTAATAGTAATAATAAGTATGTTTATAATAATTACAATGAAAAAATAATAATAATAACTAATATTAATATAATAATAAGTTAATGATTTATTAGGATAAGTGTCACTTATATAGAAATTTGATCAAAGGAGTGACACCAATTTTTAATATAATATAAGTAATAATAAGCAAAGACACACACTGAAACACATGGAGCGTAAACATACAAACCAAAGCACAGAAAATATACATAAAAAAAAACATGTAGAAATCAATTTGCGGGTTTTACTAATAAAAAAGATAAAAAAAGATAAACAAAAAGTGCTGATGATAATTGTAGTAATTACGAAAAGAAAATTAAAATAATATTTAAATCATAAGGATAATAATGCCAAAAAGTTAGAATAAAAAGTTTTTTAGAATTTTTTAAAATTGATATTGTTTAAGATGGAGTAAAGGTATTTTAGGGTATATTTTTTTGGACTCATTCAAAATGCATGCAAGGTTCCTATTCCATTCACAGATAAACAATAGAATGTTTACCATACTTCTGGGTTTTAAAAGATGATACATTTAGTTTTCCATTGTGTATATTTCTAGTCGTGTAGGAATGTAATAGTCTACTTTCTGTGAACAAGTTTGTGATAGGAGATGGTATGTTTTTATTTAAGGAGTCAAAAACAAAAAGAAGATCAGCATACTTTACTAGCGTGGAAATGTTGGAATGAAAAGTTTTTTGAAGGACTTCAATGTATCTGATTTAATTGGTTAGAAGTTTATTAATCTGATGGATGATGATAGCAACTTGTTAATGCAATAGTTTCCAACCTGACACTATACTAGATAACAATAGCTAAGATGAGGTGAGAATAATGCATAGTAAATACTGCTAAGTGTAACTTTATCGACATAATGACAAATTATTGAAAGCTCACCGTTAGCTCGAGATTTTCTTGCTTAGTTCATCAATATGAAAGTTCCATGAAAGATTACAATCAATTAATACACCAAGATATTTAATAACTCTTGAAAGATATAGCCGTTTATTATCAATTTTGATTTTGATTTCAACATTTTTAAAGAAATTGTTTTTTCTTGGAGATGAAAAAAAAAATTAGTTCAGTTTTTTTAGTGTTGAGACATATTAGGTTAGCATTTAACCAGTGAACTATACCTTTTAGATCCAAATTAACATTTTTACATAAAGAATCATACGATTTGTTGATGTGCAAGAGATTTGTATCATCAGCAAACAAATGGACTGAAGAGAAGTGAACAGATTTGATTAGGTCGTTAACGTAGATTAAAAACAAAATAGGACCTAGAACAGAACCTTGAGGAACACCACACAAATCTGATTTATAACTAGAATTGAAACCATTAATACTTACAAATTGTTTTCGATCTGAAAGATAAGATCGAAACCAGTCATTTACAATTCCGCAAATTCCATAATGTTTTAATTTTAACATAAGGGTGTATAGGTGTAATGTGTAAGTCTGTGCTGTTTATGTCGTTCAGTAGAGTCTTGTATTGTTAGTAACCAGCGTAAAAGATTTGTTTCTGAACTAAACCAAGCCAGCCCAGCCATACTCCAGAAAACCATGATGGATTAAATACCTATGCATGGATTTATAACTGACTTATGACTAAAAAGCTAGCCCAGGCATCTTCCACAGACAAAAATCCTCTTTCGCGGTGACAGTAATTGCGATTAGGAAAATAGTCGTACTTGATGACCGTAACACTAACCCTTACGGGTTAGGCCCAATATTATTTAAAAACTTTGGCATATAAAAGTTGCCGAATGGTCACAGATTGAGATGAGCGGCAACTTTGACTAATTAAATTTGACAGTTTAAAGCCATAGTGGAACCGCAATATTAGAGAGAATGTAAGAGACAATAAGTTGGAAGTAAATAGCTATGTTATTAATAATTGTTAAAATAAAATAATGCGTATGAATAGATTATTAAGAACAACCAATTAAAGTATCGAAAAACTAACAATTATAATAAATAATATTAATGGTAGTTAAACAATAACGCAACAGCCAAACAAACAGTAAACTGTAACAAAAATAAAAATTTTGAAGAAAGTTATAAAATCAGACTAAAAGAGTAAAAAAAACTAATTAAAGTTAAGAGAAATGTAAGTTAAAAAATATAATAACAATAATAAAAATAAAATATTAAATATTATATATCAAAATAAGTAATCTAATAATAAATTGTAATAATATAAATAAATAAAAAAAAGTGTAATATTTAAAATAAGATAAAAAATAATAGATACAAATAAAAACTATAAAAATTATCTACTCTTTTAAGAAACTGATCATTTCTTCTGATCTTCTTATTAACTTATCAACTTATCTCTTTTTTTTTTTTTAACTATTTTTCTTTTCTTTTTTTGTTAAGTAAAAATCGATGTTCAAATTTTCTTTTATTTGTTTTTTTTTTTAAATGTTGTTTTTGAGTGTTTATTTGTTAAAAGTTTCTTTTTTTATATGTTTTTTTGTTTTACTCTTCTTTTATTTTGATATTTTTGAATTTTTTATTTGAAACAATTGGTAATTAACTCAGTTTTTAATTTTCTCATTTCCTTTTTCCTTTTCAACGGTTAAAAAAACACGAGCACCATCTGCAATGACCTTGCAAAGAGTTTGCAAGCAGGTGTTACTTCAATAAGTTTTTATGTAATAAGCTCTATGAAATTTTTTTTTTTTTTTTTGTATACAAGAATCATAACTGTTAGACATTAGCGTCTGAGTCATATTCAGAAACCAAACACTCAAATGCAGTACCTTCACTTTTTGAAATTATCTCAGCTTCTTATATAGTTTCTTCCTTTCAATCTAAACAATAACCATTCACATGCAGTACCTTCACTTTTTGAAATTATCTCAGCTTCTTATATAGTTTCTTCCTTTCAATCTAAACAATAACCATTCACATGCAGTACCTTCACTTTTTGAAATTATCTCAGCTTCTTATATAGTTTCTTCCTTTCAATCTAAACAATAACCATAGTATTAAAAAAAAACACTGTAACATTAACGATTGTATTAAAAACAGCAATATTGATAAAAACCTATTTTACATACATAAAAATATTTTAAACTTGACACACTTTTTATTATAGCAAATAAAATAAAATCTATTTTTTTCCTGAGGACAACCCGTATTTTTGCAAGGCTTGAATCTTTAATATTTATTTGATTGCAGATACAGTACATATTACAGTATGGGCCAAAAAAAACCAGCCAAGATTTTTTTGCAGAAAAGTTTACATTTTATGGGTTT